GGGGCCGTAGGAAAAAGCTCGGTAAGGAGAGCGCGGAGAAGGAAGAGAGAGGGGAAGGAGAAGGCGTTCCAGTCGGGGCGCCGGTGGGAGCCGAGTGGGGGGCGGTCGGGGCACGCCTTGGTGGAGCGTGGAGACCCTGGGGAGGGTGGGGGTGGGGCGTGGGGGAGGGAACGCGCGCCGGGCACGTTGAGCGCCGGCCGTTGGGGGGGGTTGGGTGGGAGCGAGGAGCTCGCGGCGGGCGGAGGGGGATGGGAGGGGTGGTGGCATGGGGTCCAGGCGGTCCCTAGGCCCTACCTCTGTCGCCTGCTGCGCCCTGAGGGGTCCCAAGGCCCGCACGGAAGGGACTTGGGAGGGGAGCGCTTTTTACCCTAGTCCTGTCCCCAAAGCGTGAACCCTCCTCCACCCTTCCCCCTGTCGCTGTGGACCCTGCTCCCACGGCTCCCTTCCGTCTCTCTCTGTCTCAGGACCTCCCTTCCGTCTGGGTGTGTGTCAGCCCCCAACAAGCTTCCTCCTGTTGGGCCTAGGTCGACCCCTCCACCCCGTTCTGTCCGGCTGTCTCAGACCCGCCCTCCCAGCTTCTCTCTGGTGTGTTTTTCTCTGGGTTCCCCAGTTTCCACTGCCTGTGGATCCCCACATTCTCTGTGTCTTCCAGGCAGATCCCCACCCCCTCCTCCCCGTCTGTTTGTTTCTAACTCTCCTACTCCCCCCTTCGCCATCGTTTTCTACTTAAGGTTCTCTCTCCTGGAGGTCTGTGAGTCTGTGTCTGTCCGAAGATGCTCTATTCCGCAGCCCCCACTGCAGCCCTCTGTCTCTGGGTCATCTACCCAGCCTCCTCCAGCTGCCCCCCTCATTGACCCTTGTCTGTCAGTGATTTCTCCCAAATTCCCAGAGTTTTCTTCCCCACGTGGCCTCAGGTTTTGGGGTCTTTGTAACTGTGTATCTTCCTCTCTACTGCCCTTAGCACTCCGTACCCCTTCCCCCAACCTACCTGCCTGTAGCTCTTCTCACATTCCTTTCTCTCTCTCTCTCTCTCTCTCTCTCCAGCCACCTTGACAGGTCCCTTGTCAAGTCCCTAGGGACAGCAGAGGACTTGGGGACCAGCAAACACCCCTAGGGCACGGGAAAAGCCTCTGCCACCTGCCCTGCCTCACCCTGCCGCACGCCAGGCCCAGCCGCCCCAGCCCCCGGCTGCATCAAGTGGAGAAGGAGGAGGTGGAGGAGGGTGGCACCATGGGCCTGGGCCGTGCCCTCCATGCCCGGGAGATGAAGACATTGCTACCATGGACAGCCCGTGCCAGCCACAGCCCCTGAGTCAGGCTCTCTCTCAGTTGCCGGGTTCAGTGACAGAGCCCTTGGAGCCTAGCCGGGCCAGGATGGGGGTGGAGAGTTATCTGCCCTGTCCCCTGCTGTCCTACCACTGTCCAGGAGCGCCTGGTGAGGCCTCGGCGGGGAGTGGGACCCCCAGAGCCACAGTTACTTCCACCACAGCCAGCCCCCTGCCAGAGGGCTTTGGTGGGCAGGATGGCGGGGAGCTGCGGCCACTGCAGAGTGAGGGTGCTGCGGCGCTGGTCACCAAGGAGTGCCAGCGACTGGCAGCCCAGGGCGCCCGGCCTGAGGCTCCCAAACGGAAATGGGCAGAGGATGGTGGGGATGCCCCTGCACCCAGCAAGCGGCCCTGGGCCAGGCAGGAGAACCAAGAGGCGGAGGCAGAAGGGGAGGGCTGCAGCAGTGGCAATGGTGAGGGCAGCGCTGGGCTGAGGGAGGAGGTGCTGCCCTCTGCTCCTGAGCGCCTGGCCCTGGACTATATTGTGCCCTGCATGCGGTACTATGGCATCTGCGTCAAGGACAACTTTCTGGGGGCGGCACTGGGCAGCCGCGTGCTGGCGGAGGTGGAGGCCCTGAAGCGGGGAGGGCGCCTGCGTGATGGGCAGCTAGTGAGCCAGCGGGCTATCCCGCCACGCAGCATCCGTGGGGACCAGATTGCCTGGGTGGAAGGCCATGAGCCGGGCTGCCGAAGCATCGGTGCCCTCATGGCCCATGTGGATGCTGTAATCCGCCACTGTGCTGGGAGGCTGGGCAGCTACGTCATCAACGGGCGCACCAAGGTGAGGCTGCAGGGACCTGGTGTGGGGGTGTCGGGGGTGGGGTAGGGGGCTGCCCAGCACTTGTTTGTTGGGTGCTTGGTCTCTTGAGCACCAGTGGGTTCGGAGACAGGCTTCTGAGGTCACAAAGGGGTTTAGGCAGCTCCAGTGGAGGGGGTGTTGGAGTTCAATGTGGGCTCTCATTCCCTGTGAGTCTTAATTTGTGCACCTGTAAACCATGGGTTTGACCTGTAGTCATAGTTGGTTCTTCACCTTGCCAGGAATCCTCTTGAAGAACCTGAGAAGACGTGCTGACATTCATGGCTCCACACCTGTGCATGGGTCATGGTGTAGTTCCCAGCTCCCTGATGTCTGTGCATGGGTCCTAGACCAAGGGTGGTCAGTTTAGACAGGCACATGTTTCTGCCTCCGTCTGTCCATCTGCACCTGTCTGTCCTTGTCTTCATTCTCCCTTGTTTCCTTATCTTTTGATCCATACCTGTCTTTTCCATCCTATCCACTATCTGTCTCTGGACTGTCCATTCTGTCTCCCAGGCAGGAGAACCAGGAGGTGAAGGGTGGCCATGGGGAGGCGGATGCCAGGCAGCGGGAGGAGGCACTGGTGCTGAGCTGCATTGTTCACTGTATGCCATACTCTGGCATTTGCATTAAGGACAGCTTCTTGGGGGTGGCCGTGTGCTAGCCCAGGTGAAAGTCACGTCTTCATCTTTCTTGACCCTCCCTGCCCTAGTTCTTGCCCTCCATCTTTCCTTTTCTGCCTATCCCTTCATCCTTGTCTGTTTCTGATCTGTTTCCTTGACTCTCTGCCTTTGTGTTTCTTCTTGGCCCGTTTGTCTTGCTTTAGAGTAGTGTTATTAATCTCTTTTTGGAACCTGGGTTTTTTTTTGAAAATCTGCCAAAAACTACAGACCTTCTCTTAAGAAAAATGCTCATTTGATCGGTGTTCTTGGGCAGTCATCAGGACCTTCTGGGTCTCCAGCAGCCCATTCGAGAACCTGGGATCAGGAGCCCTACACAAGACAATAGTCCATAGGGCCTTTTTGGTCTGCTGAAATGTTAATTCTTTTCGTGTAGGGTGTAGGCCCTGGCCTTAAGTCCAAGGTTTGGTGATTTTTGGACAAGACCCTGTAGGGAGTGCCCACCGCACAGCACCAGTGATGCCTGGCTGACGGCACAGACTGTGTTCTGCCCTGCGGGCATGAGGCTGTGCTGCTGCTGTCCCCTCCCTCCTTCCTCTCCCTCAGATCCCATCTCGGGTGCTGCCTCTGTGCAGCTTCTGTCTCAGGCTGAAGCTGGCTCAGAGACCAGGGCTCCCCCGGGGCCGAGGCCAGTATCCTCCCCACCCCAGGTGGAACTTGTCCTACTTCCTTCTGCCTCCTGTTACTTGATAGCTGGAGAGCCAGGGGCAGGAGAGAGCAGTGAGAATCTCTCTGGCCACAAGGTGCTCAGCACCTTCTCCCCAGGGTCACCAATCCTCACAGGAGGGAGATGGAGGGGAGACCACAAGATTGGCCCAGGGCAGGATACTTCTCTGAGCCTCTCTTGGCTCATCCACAGGATTGGAAAACCAGGTTAAGTCCCCAGCTAGTCTGTGGCCATTTTAAGAGGGGAGAGGAGGGAGCAGATCTCTTTAGCTTTGGTGCCTCTGATGTGGCTGGGAATGGGCCCTGGAGGGAGGGGGTGGGGGTTGGGACTTTTTTAGCCCTGGGAGGTAGGAACAAGCCTGGCTGGACTGAGAAGGGAGAGGAGGAGCCAACCCAGTCACTGGAGTTCCTCTCAGACCCTCCCCTGCCCCAGTGAGACAGCAACTTCAGGCTTCCCCACCTTTACAGGGCAACATATGGGCTTCCTCCCCAGGCTCTGGAGTAAGACAGTGTGGGGTGCTGAGGTGGGGGACCACGGTGGTGGTGGTGGCACGGATTCCCCATGTGGCTGCGGCCCGTAACAACCTGCCTCTGGGTCTTCCCTGGATGCAGCTTATGTGTTCTGCCTTTGCTCCTCCCCTTAGTTCCTCTGCTTAGTCGACCTGCAGGTGGGAGGGAATTGACTCCCACTGGCATCAACGACCACCATATGGGACCCCAGGAGGCCCTTTTAAAAGCAGTTTGGAGGTGGGGTCTGCTGTCATTGGCTCAGTCCTGAGATTCTGACTTGGGGGTATGCTTGTGCACATGCTTTGTGGGGCTCTTGGCACGTTGATCCTCGTGGCCCTTTCCCTGGGATGAGAGGGTGAGGAGCAAGTTTCCATGTCACTCTCCTTGTCCCTTTCCCTTGTGAGGGCAGGAGATACAGATGCTTCTCTGGGACCAGAGAATGCACACATCACCCCTGCCACACACACACACACACAGATGAGTGTAACAGGTCTTTAAAGGGCCTGTTTCTGTGCCCTTTACAGGTACAAGTCCCATTCCGTGCCAGACTACAGAGGGTGTCCCTGCCTGCATGGTGGGAGACCCTGGAAGGGTGCCCAGGGCAGGATGGAAGGGAGGCCCGGAGACCTAGAGGTGCGCTTTCAGTCAGGAGCCCCGGGCACTAGGGAGACAGACCTGGCCCTAGGGGCCAGTACTAGGTAAACAAGTACCTGTACTGATTTTGCACTGAGAGGGGTGGAATGGGAACTAAGCCCAGGTGCCTTCTGCTAGAGTACTCAAGGTGCTCCTTGACCCAAGACCTGAATAACAAGGGGGATGTTCCAAGCAGGTGCAGAGGCCGTGGGGATCAGCTTGGCTTAGACAAGAGCCAGAGGGCTGCGAGGCTGGAGATGGAGATGAGGCCACTGGCCTTGGAGGCTGTGGTCAGGAATTTATTCTGGGATGCATTGAGGAACTGAAGGGATGTGAGCAGTGGCAAGCTGGAGTAAAGGGTCTCTGGCTGCTGTGTGGGGGAAGTGGCTGTGACACTGGACCCCCTTGCCCCACCCCATCGTGCAGAACCAGCAGAATCTCTGCTTGGATTCTAACTGGGGAGGTCTTCCCCATCCCTAATCAGTGACTCATTGATTACCTCCCTCCATGTCCCCCCCCCACAGCTGTGTTCTTTCCTCCCAGTGAAGCAGTTTCTCAGAGCACTGACCCATCTGCAGGGAGTGAGCAGTGGAAAAAAGGTTCTCCTTTGGAACCTGGGGGACAGGTTCTTGCTGTCATCTTGCTGTCAGAACTGTGGCTCTCTACTAGGTGGCCATACCAAGTGGCAGCCCTTCTGGCCTCTTTCCCAGGGCAGGTGCTATGGGAGACCAGGTGCACATGTTTAATGTAGAGCCATTTTCCCTTTTTGCTGGGGGTGAGCCCTGGGGAATAATAAGTGGGGAGGAGGCTGAGATGTTGAGTCAACCTGGCCTGCCATGGGGTGCCTGGCAAGCTTCCTGTTTGGCAGCACATGCCGATCTGTTTGAGAGTGTTTATCTTGGGGCTGTCTTAAGTGGCTGTGGCCCACAGGTGTAGCAGCTTTAGTGAGGAGCAGTGGCCAGCAGAGTCCCTCCTGGCATCAGTGTGGGATGGGGTGGATTAAGACAGATGGTCCCTAGCTGGGGAGGAGGTGGGGGTCTTCATGCCAGTGCTCCCCTGTTTGCCTCATCAGCCCTCCCAGTAGCTAGGGGCAGAGGGTCATTTCAGCCCCTGCTCTGGCTTTCCATCACATGTCAGGCACTGTGCGGGGTGCTCTTCCAGGCATTTATCTCGTTCGTGACCTGTGAAATGGTGGTTAGCTCCATTTCACGGATGAGGAAACCGAGACAGGGAAGTTAAGTCACCTGTTCAACATGACAGCTCATATGGCAGCTCTGAGACTTGAACCCAGGAGTCAGGTCTGTAGGAACACCTGGGCCCTTTTCCTCACACCACATCTTTGAAAAACCAAACTCTTAGTTACTCATTGAGCCGCATGTTGGTGCCAGACTCCAGGTATGGATGGAGGGGTGTGTGTGTGCGTGCTGTGTAGTGGGCTGTTGAGGCTCAGGAGCTGAGGTTTCTGGCAGACGGGGGGTTGGCTGAAAAAGAAAATCTGAGCACTGGAACCGTTGAAGCCCAGAACACTTGAGGAGTCAGGGAGAAATGAGGGGTGAGAAAGAAGGTAATGGCTGCTTTGCCAAACGTCCCTGACTGCTAGCCTCAGTAAACCCACCTCCATCCTCTCTGCCAGGCCATGGTGGCGTGTTACCCAGGCAACGGGCTGGGGTACGTGAGACATGTGGACAACCCCCATGGCGATGGGCGCTGCATCACCTGTATCTATTACCTGAACCAGAACTGGGACGTCAAGGTAGGGTGTTGGGGGTGAGGTGGCATGCATCGGCTTGGTTTTCCACTCCTAGCTCCGCTTCTAGCATTGTCCTGTTCCTCTTCTCAACCCATTCTGGGCTGTGTAGTCTGCCTGATGGCTTTTCTTAGGAAGTGGCACCTCTCTCTCCAGCTCACTGATGGCAGCTCCCCCTCTTTGGGGAATGGTGCTGTCCGCCCAGCCCCCAGCCTAATAAACACTTCCCCCACCCCATTTCCTGTTTTTGGTAGCTTCCTGCAGATCTCCATGGTGATGCAGACTCTGGGCTGTCATTCATTTTAAGAGCCTGAATGGCGGGGAGGGGGTAATGTGTGTGGCTGCTATGCCCCCTGATGGGTTCCTGGGGGCCGGCAGTGCAAGGCCGGACTGGCCAGCCTCCTGCCTCATCCTCTGGCCTGCCCTCAGGTGCATGGTGGCCTGCTGCAGATATTCCCTGAGGGCCGGCCCGTGGTAGCCAACATCGAGCCACTCTTTGACCGCCTGCTCATTTTCTGGTCGGATCGGCGGAACCCTCATGAGGTGAAGCCAGCCTATGCCACCAGGTATGATCCATACTTTTGGGGATATGCCCAGGTACTCGCACTGTGCCAGCAAAGTCTTGTCAGATCCCTGGAGTGACTAGGAAGTAATGAAATGCTGAGAAGGGGCCTAGGTGGTAACAGAACCAGGCTCAGAAGGTGGACTCTAGTGTCACTATGGATCTGGTGGCTGGAGTTAAAGAAGAATGATCTCTAATCGCCCTCTGGGGCTGCTCTGGTCCCCAGGTACGCCATCACTGTCTGGTATTTTGATGCCAAGGAGCGAGCAGCAGCCAAAGACAAGTATCAGCTAGGTACCTCCTTCCCAAATGGCATCCCCCTTCCTTAAGTCCTCCCTAGTCCACGTACCTCACTAAGCCTCAGGCCACCTCATCAGTCTCTCACTGAGTCCTGCCACTCATTTTCCCCCATCTTTGACCACTCTCCTGGTATCCCCAGCATGAGTCCCATCTCTTCTGCTCCTTTCCCCATATTCCCAGGTTTCCTTGGCCTTTTTGTTCCTTCCCGGATGACTCACCATCACCATCTTCTGTCCCCTGTCACCCCCAGCATCAGGACAGAAAGGTGTCCAAGTACCTGTATCACAGCCGACCACGCCTACCTAGTGGCCAGCCCCAGAGCTGCATGGACAGACAGCTTGCTGTGACTTCGAGAGAGCCTTGGCCTGGTGCTTCCTGGCCAGCAGCCCACCAGTCTCAGTGCCTGCTCCTTCCCCGCCACTGCCGCTGCTTCTGACTTTGCCTCTGTCCTGCCTGGTGTGGAGGGCTCCGTCCATCACTGAGGACCAAGGAGGAGAGACTTCTTCTGCCCTGGGTTGGGGGCTGGGGTTATGACCTGGGCAGGGGCCAGTGTTGGGGGCTACCATTACTGGATTTGGGGGCTTGTGTCCTGCTCTGTCTGGTCGTGCCCCTCTCAGGTTTGGAGAGCTGGAAGGAGGCATTGCCACCTCCCACCAGGATGCAGGATTTGGGGTTGGGGTGAGTCATGGCCTCTTGCTGGCAAAGGTTTGTGGGGGGAGTATCCCCGAGCCCCCCACTCTTCCAGCCTGGAATGTGAAGTGACTCCCCAACCCCTTTGGCCGTGGCACCTTTTGGACTTGGCTGCCGCTGCTTGGGCAGAATCAAAGGTGCTGGGAGGAGCATGGGTGTGAAAGTCCTGTCAGCCAAGAAATAAAAGTTTACCTCAGCTGCACACATATGCCTCTGGCTCCCTCTGGGTAAGGAGAAGCCTCTATTTGCAATTCAGAGCCTTTATTGACCAAAGGGGTTAAGGAGCTCTGAGAGCCAGTGAGCAGAGAGTGGCTGAGCCTGACCTCAGTGGGCCACACGGCAGAGCTGGAAGGCTGGGGAGACATTGCCCAGGCCAGTGCACTGTGGGTGAGGTCGATGTTGGTGGGGGGCTCCCCAGAGGTTGCAGGCAGAACCGCTGTAGAATGAAGGTGAGGAAGGTCTCCAATAGGGCCAGGCCTGCACCCAGGCACGTCCACTTTCCTAGGGATGCACATGTGAGATGAGAAACCCCTGTGCCCCAAGGATCATCCAGACTGGTCCCCTCCCTGCCCAGCCGATACCTGGGGCAAAGGGCATGAAGGCATTGTTGCTCTGGAACTAGCACTCGTTCAGGAAGTTGGTGGGGTTGAAGCATTCTGGGTCCTTGAATTGGGTGGGGTCCCAGTGCACAGACAGAAGTAGAGGAATCACAAAGATGCCTTGGGGTGATATGCAATGGTTACCCTAAAACTTGGCAAGCAACTGCCTTCCACTCATCTAAAACCCCATTTTAGAAGCTCTTGGCAAAGCAAGCCGCCTTTCTTGGTCCCAGGGCTATGTGAATGCTGTGAATGCTCATGCCTGCTCATCTTCATTAATAGGCCCTCCCCTGTCCCTGCGCAGACCCCCGGGTTTCAGTGGGCACCTTGGGCAGAAAGTGGCCACGCAGGTGGATATTGCGGGTGAGGAAGTGTGGCAGCTCCAGCGGCAGCACACTGATGAAGCACTGGATCTCGTGCGGCACGGCGTTGGTGTAAGGCAGGCGGTGGCCGTCCTCCAGGTGTGGGGCACGTATCCGAATTACTGCGGCATCCAGATCGGCCTGCACTTTGACTGGAGCTGGCAGAGTGTGAACTGAGCATGCCCCAGCCCCCAGCCATCCCCAAACCCTGGCGCCTTCATCCATGACTCTCCAGCTCCCAGACCTGCCACCTCTGGATACTTGAGCAGAATGGGGAGCCCATAACGCAGATTGGTGCTTGTGGCCTCAGTGCTGCCAAAGAGGTTGTGTGTCTTTATCACCAACGTCTCCTCCTAGAAGTGGCTCTCCGGGTCCTGTTCCTGTGGGCAGAGGAGATAGGTGCTGCGCTTGTCAGGCTTCTGCTGGTGGGCAGCAGGGATAGAGTTTAGGGCAGCATGACCCTTCACCTTATCCACCTGATCCAGGAAACAGTCGATGAAATCGAGAGTCACCCCAGGCTGCTGCCTCTGCCGGTGCCGTTGGATTTGCTGAGAGATGAAAACCCGAAGGTCCGTGAAGTTTCGGAAGATTCGGTGGTGCAGGCCGGGAGCCAGTCCAGGAGGGAGGGGAAAATGTACATCGAGGGGGATAGGGGGTCAGTACGACATTGAACAATACTACTAGTTTACCCATGGGAAGACTGGACCAGAATTTTGATGTTGTATGTTCCAGAATTCAAAGATTCTAAAACTGTCCCATTCTAATGATCCAATGTAGGTCCGTGGACTAGGGATTTGGCAGATTTGGCATACGAGGGAGATACTGGTGCCGACGCTCTCATCTCGCCCCGTCTGGAGCTTATGACGTGGAAGGTGTCATTGAAGAGGTCCAGGAGCTTCAGGAATTCCAGATCCTCGTAGCCATAGCGGTTCCCAAAGACCACGGAACAGATAACAGACATGGCATTATCTAGTAGTCGTCGGGGGTCGAACGGGGCTCCTGGGAGTGGGAACGAGAGGAGGTGGTATGCTGTGGCTCCGCCCCTACCTAGCTCTTGGGCTTACTGGCTTCTTTCCACCCAAACGCTTTCCTTCTGCCCTTTCTTGTCCAAGGGCCACACCCACAACAGGTCCCTCTCCTTTTCTGACCAGGCCTCACCAATGGTGGCTTGAAATTCGCCAAGCAGACAAGCCGCCTCTTCCTGAACACGCTCCTTGATGGTCCGCATTTCCAGACCGAACCCCTTAAGTGCTCCAAGTGCAAAATTGCGCAGGGTTTGCCACCGCTGCCCGTTGGAACAGTAGATGCCTGGGGGTGGGACAGAGAAGGGGATGGGCCGGGGAGTTAGCCCTGACCCAACCTGAAAGCATCTCCAGTAGTGGAGACGACTTCCCACAACCTTTCGTTCTGCTTCTTTTCCAGGCCTCTTGGTTGCCACCCCAGCCTTCTCGGCCCTGTACACACATTGGCCCCACCTCTGCTGGTCCCGATCCCTGACAATTGCTTGCTCTCCTTGACTTGGACTTTTAGACTTTTCACTTCTATTGGCTGCATGAAGGAGCAGCCCCTCCGCCCCCCGCCCTTTCGACCCCTACACTGTAGCTGCACCTCGACCTCTCCTTGCAGTCTGTCCTCATTAGCCTTGACTCTGTTAGGCCCCGCCCCATTTTTTCCGTCCCACTCTTGATCGCCCAAACTGGATGGTCCAGGCCCGCACTTCCGCTGCCAGGGCTTCACGGTTTCCGTGTGTGAAGCTTTCGAAGACTGCCATGGCCTAGCAGCTGGAGAAGGCATCAGCTTGCAGTACTAATGCGTCTCGCAGCGCTGCGTATCCGCACTGCACCACAGCCCAGCCACACTGTGAACACTGGGCCCCAGTGGCCAGAGAGCTACACGGAGCCGGTGCTCAGCGGGTCCCGTTCTGGACTCCTGACCCCTCCTCCATCGAGACCCCAGAGCCTGGCCCGCAGCTTCTTCCTCCTGCAGACCCAGCAGTCCAGACTCCCACTCCACCCTGTCTTCTCTCACGATCTGTAAGTCCCGGTCCCCAGCTCCCAGCACTCTAAGAACTAGGTGTCCTGGACCACAATACCTCCCTGCCTTGAACCAGAACAGATCTCTCTGCTATCCTTCCCCTGGGATCAGACCATCCTCCCCAAGGCTCCTCCTCCCTCAGGATCCAGAAATGGGGTGGGGGGGTGGGGGGGTCACAGCACGGCTCCATCATGAACCAGGAGCTCAGGCCCACAGCCCCTTTTCCCGCCAGATCTGACTCCCACCCCAGTCTCCTCGTCTGTCACAACCAGGTGTCCTGCACCAAGGTTTTCCACTCCAAGTCTCCCTTCCTGGATCACAGGACTCCAGGTCCTTCAATCTCTCTCAGGACTCACAGGGTCTGAGCCCTCAGCTCTGTCTTTAGAGCTGGTTCAGAGAACCAGGAGTTCCAGCCCCCAGCCCCATCTCCACAAATCCAGAATTCTGTCTCCCCACCCACTGTCAGGGCTACCTCCATGAGTGCACGGTCCAGGCGTCCAGACTCCAGCTGCAGTAAGCTCCCCAGAAGCGGAAGTGGTGTGGGCCCAGGGGGGTAGGGCCCTCTGTGCCTGAGTTCCCCAGGCACCCCAGTTCTACCTGACTAGTGCCAGTAGCAAGACCAGCAACAGCAGCGCTGTGACGCCAGTAATCATCATGCCTTTGATCCTCGATGAGTCCCTTTACCTTTATTTGATTCCCTTTGGGTCTTGGGTGGAGCAGGGCAGACACTAGGAGTGGGAGGGATGAGCGCCTGCGGGATGCTCACTCTGTAATTCTCCAACCCAAAGTCTCCACCCTGCCCGCAGCCCTAATTGCTGCACTTGCCTCCTCCTGGCCTTTTCTTTGTGCCTGCCTCAGCCTGTCCTGTTTGGCAGTCTTAAATGCACTAGCATTTTCATGTCAGCACCCCTGGTCGACAGGTGCACTCTCCTGAACCCCTGAACCCCATCGTATTTGGCCTGTAGGTGTGCATTTCAGAATCCCCTGGCCACCTCTGGGCCTGTGACCCCTGAATGCTCTACCCTGTACTTCTGATTCCTAAATGCACTTCTGACTTCTAATACAATTCTTGTAACACTCCTGGTGATGCATCCATTAGCCTGGCACTCCTGTGCCCTGTACCTGTGATACCTGAGGACTCACCCCTGAGCCCTTGTCACTTCTATGCCCATTGCTCTTGGAACCCTGTATGCTGTACTTGTCTCCCAGATGCTCAACTCAAGTCCCCTAGCCCCCTGGTACCCATCAGACTGGCATTTCCATATCTATCCTATGACTCTTGGGTGCCTTCCCACAGTTAGACCCCTTGTATCTCCATACTTATGCCCTGCCCTGAACTCTTGCCATCTCTGTTGCCAATGCTCTAGCTCCCAGATGCCCCAAATGTCCTCTACCCATGCTGCTACTCCTCCTGGTCTCCATTTCCCCAGGCCCCTCAGTGTTCACCCTGACCTGAGGCCAGGCCACCATGGCAGACAAACTTGGTACTCATTCCGGCCATCTCTGGGGATGTGGGCTGGAGGGGGCAGATCTAGGCCTGGATGGGCCAGCGGTGGGGGATGTGGCTGAGTCAATACTTGGAACAGACAGTTCAGGAATGCGGCCCACCCTCCCGCCCACCCTGGCTTGCCGGATCCAGCCTTCCGCCAGGTGCCTGGCGCCTGGCCCAGACCTGGGGAGACGGGGGCGGGGGGGGGGGTCGTGTGCAAAGCCTGGGACTGGGCTGGTCTCTGGGAAACCCTCAATTTCCCTGTTTTCTCTGTTCATGTCTCTTCCCATTTCTCTCTCTCTCCGTTTTACTCTCGGTGTTTGCCTCTGTTCCTATTTGTTTTCTCTCTTTTCAATGTCTGTTTCTCTCTCCCAGTACCTCTTCCAGTTTGTCTTTACCTTCATCTCCCTCTGTCTCTGTTGCCGCCTCTCCCTGTCTGTTTGTGTAGCACGTATGCCTGCCTATCAGCCTTCCTCTGTCCAGGAACCCAATGCCTGGCAGGGGTTGCAGGGCAAGGCGCTGCTCAGAGGCACTGACTCCGCAGACAGCAGGGGTGCAGTGGGGCGCAGCAAGCATGCTCTCACGGGCCCCAGCCCTCCCTAGCCCATCCCAGGCTTTCTGATAGATCCTCTTTCTTAGGCTCTCTTCAAGAGCAGGCATTTTGTCTTGCTCACTTATGCATCCTCAGCACCTAAAATAGTGCTCAGCACATAGCGGGAGCTCAGTAAATGTCTGTGGAATGAATACACGACTTTCTTCTGTCTCTGCTTCTCTCTGTCTCTAAGTCGGACTCTGTTTTCCTAAGACTCTCCCTTTCCTGAATCCTTCTGACTGTCTCCCTGCCTGCCTGTCTCTGCTTCATCTCTTGAGGCTTCTGTCTCTCTAGTTCTCTTTCTTTCCTCTCATCTCTCTGTCTCTCTTCATCTCTGTGCCTCTCTCAATTTCTATCTTGTCTTTAGCATCTCTTTATCTTCCTTCTCTTGGGGCATCTCTGTCTCTCCCTTTTTCTCAGTCCCTCTCTTTCTCCTCATCTGTCTCTCTGACTCCCAGTCTTTGGTTTCCGGGACCTCTCTCTATGTATCTCTTTGTCTCTTCCTGCCTCTCTCCATCTCTGTCTGTCTCTTTTTCAGTATCTCCATGTGTTTCTCTTTGCCATCTCTCTGTCTTTCTTTCTCAGGACCTCTGAGTCTCTCCTGTCCTCCCTTCCCCTCTGCATTCCTGCCTGGGCCCTAGGGCAGACTCTGTGCTTCGCCTGTGGTGGGAACAGCGTGGGGATTAGGGAGCCGTCACCCCATATGGGGACTGCCTATAAGCCTCACTCCAGCTGGCCCCATACTCAGCAGAGAATGTCCCAGCTTCTGGATGAACTTGGGGGGACTCCACCCAGGGGAGGGCCTCCTAGGCCACCTCTGCCCAGGGCTAGGGGCCAGCCTCATTCTGTCCGACTCCGACTCAATGAAGCTTAAGATGCCTGCTCCTAGAGAAAAGCTACTGTCAGCAAGATGTCAGCTTGTCAAATGCAGTCCCAGGCTGCAAGGCCCCATGCCTGGGACTATTATCCCCACCCCAAAGGGAGGGAATTGCAAGACAAAGGAATAGTCAAATGAGAGCAGTGAGAAATGGGGGAGAGATTCAGTCTCCTGGTGCCTCATTTTCCCATTCATTGCCCTTCCTGTCTGTCTTTTTCTGATCATTTTTGTTTCTTTCCTTGTCTCTATCATTTGCTCTGTTTGCCTCCCCAGTTCTCAGTCTTAGTATCTCTCTGCTTTCCTCCGAGTCTTTGACTCTTGAGATTGACAAGAGCATCGTTGGAAGCAGATGATCTGCGTTCGGAACCCAGCTCTGCCTGTTTCTGGCTATGTGGTCCTGGGCAAGTCACTTCATCTCTCTGAACCTCAGTTTGTTCATCTGTAAAAATGTATAATCACAGTGCTTTGTCTAGGGAGATTTAAATGAGGCATTCAGAACAGTTCGTGAATAGGAAGCACTTTGTAAGTGTTAGTAATTGTTATTTCTCAGGCTCTGTGTCTGCTTATTTCTGCGAGGCTCTCACTTTCTCCCTGCTTAACCTTCCATCCTTGTACAGGGCCCTGGATCGTATCTTCCGCATCTCTCTAGGCTGCTGTGTTTTTCTCAGCCTTGGCTTCTCTGCCTCTCTGTCTTCATTCAGGCCTCAGAGTCTTTACCTTCCAGTCTGTCTCCAGGAAACAATTTCAGCTGCCCTGAGGGTGAGGGTCGAACTCGGCACAGCCAGGTGCCTCCCCTCTCTGTAGCCAGACCTTCCTTCTCCCCATCCCAGGGGACTGTCTTCCTCCCTTTAATTCAGCCAAGGCAGCTTTGAATCTATTATAAAGATAATTTACTGGGAAATGATACAAAAAGCCCCCCAAAAGGAGTGCAATATAGAATGAGTTCTGTGGGTAAAACAGGGCATCAGCTTCCTCTTCCCCGCGGCTTTCTCTACCTCTAGGGGCGCAGACCCAGTAAAGACAGGAATGATGGGGGATGGGCATGTGGCATGCGCAACGTGAGGGGAAGCAAGTGTGACGGCGAGAGGATGGGGCACAGTGGAACGAGAAGACTGAGGGAACAAGCCCTCTGTGCGGGCCTCATTTCTCCCAGGCGAATCTGGAAAGGATGCGGCGTCAGCGCGCGCGCAGGCGCAGCTGGAAAGGCCGCGGCAAATTGCCGAGACCCGAGCTGATCGGGGTCAGGTCGATGTCCTCGGGCGCCCCCAGCGGCTGCAGAGAGAAGTTCTGCAGGATGGCAGTGAAGTAGAGGAAGAGCTCCATGCGCGCCAGCGACTCACCCAGGCACAGCCGACGTCCTGCAGGGTGAAAGGGTGGGGAGGAGCGAGGAGATAAGATGGGGTGAGGGGCTCTTCCAACTTTTAGAGGAAAACGTATGAAGCCGACTGTTGGGGACATGACAGACCCACCCATCTAAAGGTCTGGGAAAGACAGTTTAAGTAATTCGTGGACCTGCTACAAATGCAAATGCATGGGTTTGAATCTCAGTTCTGCCACTACTAGCTTTGCGATCTTGGTCAAGCCACAGTTTCTGGGTAGGTATCTGAAATGGGAATGATAATAGTGCCTCATTAGGTTGTCGTGAATGGCAAAGGCAGCTGAAGCAGTGAGAATATAATGCTCATGTCAGTTTTAGTAGGTGGTAGCACTGCTCTGAGCACCAAACTGCTATTAATTAATCTAATCCTCATAACAACGCCAAGAGAAGGGCGCTTTTATGATCTCCAGTTTATAGATGTAAAAATCGAGGTACACAGAGGTGAAGGAACACAGCCAAGACCACACAGCTAGAAGCTCACAACGCTGGGGTCTGGCTGCAAAGTCTAGCTCTTAGCCATCACTCTGATAGTCCTCAGAGGCAGTACCGGACACACAGTAGGCAATACGATAAGTTACCTATTATTACCCACCCCCACCCCCTTTTCTAATACTGAGTTAAGCAGGAAAGGTTTTTTTTTTTTCCAGAAGGGTAAAGACCAAAGCCAAGAAAAACTAGAACCACTTCAACTGCACCACCCAGTGGAGAGACTGACAGTGACCACATCCAAGTTAAATTATCATCCTGTCTCCCTGCCTCGCTCCTCAAGGATTTCAGTCATTATCCGCCTGTAGGAGCAGAGCTGGGAAGGAGAATGAATGTCTTTGCACATCCAAACCTGAGGTTGGGGTGGGATGAAGAAGCAAGGTTTGGGGAGTGAGATTAGGACTGGGGAATGTAAGTGGAATACCAGGCCAGAAAGACTGATTCTTGTCCCCACTGCTCTCACCTGCTGAGAAGGGCATGAAGGCAGGGCTCTTCTTGAAGGACTGACTGGCATCCAGAAAATGCTCAGGGTTGAATTCCTGAGGCGTCAGAAATTGGCTGGGGTCGTAGTGGACTGTATTAAGGAGGGTGATGATATCCGTGCCCTATGTAGGTGGGGAGGCAGAATTAGTGGTGTAGAAGGGCTAGGAGGTTCCCAAACTAGGATTTCCATGCCATAGGGCTGGGAGTCCTGGGGACTTGATAAGGGGTGGTGAAGCATAGGACTCCACCAGGGATCCAGGAAATGTATGTGGGTGTCTAGGATTCCCAGTGATGGGTACTGGAAGCTGTTTTGTTGGGTCGGAGGCAGGATGCTGGATACCCTCCTTTAGGAACAGATTTGGGGGTTCTGGGGAGGGGGTGAGGTCTCTGAGAACAGTGTTCAGGCTCAGAGGATCCCCAGAATGAAGTCTCAGACCCTGAGGATTTGGGAGAGGGGTCCTAGGATGAGGACCTGTCATAGAGAGGGGGTCTGCTCCAGGTTCAGAACAGGGTCCTGGAAAGGGGCTGAGGTTCTGGATTTAAGGGCTTCATGTCTGTTGCTAGGGCTTGGGATGCCAGTTGCTAAGGTCCAGGGGGCTGATTGCTAGGCCTGGAATCTTCCTTGCTAGAGCCGCCGATGCCCATTATAAGAGCTTGGGATGCATCTTCCTAAGGTTCCAGTGTCATTTGCCAGGTGTCCAGCGAACCTTGGGTAGCAAGAAGCCTCGAAAGGCCGTGTCCCGAATCACCCGGTGCGGCAAGCTCATGGGAATGACATCTGCGAAACGCTGCACCTCATGGATCACCGCATCTGTATAGGGCATGGCCGGTCGGTCCTCCAGCGCTGGCAGCCGCTCGCGACCCACCACGCGGTCGATCTCCTCCTGGACGCGGGCTGGAAATGGAGAGGGGAGCATTGTTGAGGGTATCAGCAGGCTCGACTGTGTTAAGAAGAGGTGTGTGCGTGCGTGTGGAAGGAGTCCAGTCGGCACTTTCCAGTGGGGGACCGCTGCAGGGGTGTATGTGAAGGTTAGCCAGAGCTTCGGAGGGAAGGGTTGGGTTCAGAAATATAGGAGAAGGCGAAAGTTTAGTTTATGCCAGGGATCCTAAGGGCGGGGTTGTGCGGGCGGGGCTTTGGGACTGCCTTGAGTCCAGGTCCCTGATGAAATTGCAACGAGATTTTTAAGGCCTAGGCCCACAGAAGGATGGATGGAGTGAGTGGGCTGTGCGGGAGAGCTGAGAAATCGGGGGTGGGGCAGGCAGCAAAGATCCTGTCGGTGTCTATACTGTGTCCTGGAGGCCAGGGTTCCAGGCAGGAATAATGACCCAGAGGCGGGATTTGGGGAGGCGGGGTTGCAGACAATGCCGTGCCAGAGGGTCAGACTGTGTGGGAGGGGATGGGTTCAGGGGCAGGTCCAGTGGCTGAGGCTCTTGGCGGGATTTCCGAGCTGTGTGGACGAAGTCTGGGTCGAGGTAGGCTGTGTGCGGACCTTGGGAACTACGTGGGTGTGGTCGGCCTCCGGTGGGTTTGCAGGTTTGGCTGTGGGATCCAGGCACAAGCTGGAGGCTTTGACTTAAGGCGTATTGGGCGGGAGCTCATTGTGAGCGGGGCTTAGAGGCAGGCGGGGCGGCTGTGCTCCACCGCGCTGGGTGGGGCGGGTCTCCCCACCCCGCAGGCTCCCGGCGCTCCCACCTTGCACTTTTGGGTACTTCAAGAGCACAAGGAAGGCGTGGCGCAGCGTGGTGCCCACGGTCTCGGTGCCGCCAAAGATCAGATTATGTGTGGTCATCAGTAGTGTGTCCATATGGAAGTGGCTTAGCGGGTCCTGCTTCTCCTGCGGGGGTTAAGGGTGGGGATGTGAGCCAGGGCCGGGATATCCTGTGGGCTGCCGGCCTGTGCGACCCACTCCCCACAGACCTACACAACTGCTACTGGGTGCCAGTTCAGTCCCTCCTGTTTAACTTCCTTTCCTTGCGGGAGCTGGGGATCGCGCAAGGCACAAGGTAGGGAAAATAGCCTCAGGGCCCGCAAGGACCAGATCCTTAAGGATTTCTTAATGAATTGGCGGAAGCCCCAATGGCACCAGGCGCCAGCCTAGCAGAGCCAGGTGTTCCAGCCTCACTTTCCACCTGTGGGGAGATCAGAGCCAAAACCGCTCGGTTGGGGATCCTTGTTGGTTTGAGGCAGGATAGCAGGTCAGACCAGAGATGGTACGTCCAGGCAGGGCTTACCTGTGCTATCTTGGTAAGGAAGCAATCAATGAAGTCCCGGGGAGATTCTGGGTCGAGGGTGGCCTGATGGTCACGGACGCTGCGGGCAATGAGGTCCTTCATGCGCCCGAAGTTCTGGAAAAGGCATCGGTGCGGCCCGGGAAGCCAGTCCAGGAGGCTCGGAAAGATATTGTACAACTGGGGATGGAGCAGAGTCGGAGGGATTTGGAGGAGTAGGCAGGCTGTGTGTGTGTGTGTGTGTGTGTGTGTGTGTGTGTGTGTGTGTGTGTGTGTGTGTGTGTGTGTG